AACTCTGCCAGAGGCGGAGTAAGCGGTGAGTTAGAAAAGTAGGAAGCTCCACACTGAGTGTGTTCCCTGGGGCTTCTGGATATCTGAAAAGTACGGATAGGGGCTGGGACTATTAGGCTCTCTGGGGAGCTAGCTGATGACGGAGTTTCTGAGCCACTTGGGAGGGATTGAGCTAGTGCACCGGCCTGTGGATTATAAAGAGGAGGTTAAGGAGACCCCCCAGTGTGTTTTCCTTCATTAAACAGATGGGAAAAAACCTGTATCTCCGTGAGAGACAGCCAGGGGTTGGTAGAGGGCCCTCAATGGTATCAGTCTCCTGCATGGGGTTCTGTTTAAGGGTCCTATTTCTTGGGCCGTTGGAGAGGTATGATTTTTGATAGAAAATCATAAATACCTGAACGTAAGGGATCTTAGACAACTTTCCTTTTCTTTTGAAAAACAAATCTAATTGAAGACTAATATTAGAATTTAGACTGTTATTCCCTGTCTCTCCCCACATCCTAATTTATACTGGAAGCAAATTTTTATTGCAATGGATGATATGTTGCTTAATTCTCAAAATGTTGGTCAAACTGTTTCTAGTTATTAAGGATGCAGCCTAAATGGTGTGGCAGTTGGGGTCAGCAGGGTGTTTCCCGTAACCCTTTGTGGAGCCTATGGAGAGGAGACAGGGACTGGCAGCCTCCTGAGGGCATCCCTGCAGAAGGACTGAGGTCTGTTGAGCTTTGGGGTATCCCTCTAGAGGTTCAAATTTCCCACCAAACATCTCAGTGAAGTGGATAGAAAAGTTGGTGGCTTTTATTTATTCTATCTCTGCATAGTCTGTGGCCCAATAGGACTTCCTAAAGGCAGGGTGGAGCCCCCATTCCATTATGGATTTGGAAGGGAAGAAGGAAGAGGGCTCATATATTCTCCAGAAATGGAGACTATAGCTCCTGTTTGTCAGCGGGAACTTTTCTGATGTTCAGGGGACAATCAGAAGAAAGATGAATTGGGATGATTCCCCTGAGGTTTTGGGAAAAGGGGCATGAAGCAAGTACCCTATAAGCAGTCAGAGTCAAAGGCCTCCTGGGGAAAGGCCCACATGAGACTTTGATTACAGTAGGTGCAAAAGGGGCAGTAGGTACTTTGATTACGGTAGGTACAAAAATGGTGGATAAATGGGGGCAGGCAGCTGCTGAAGCAGGAGACCAAGTCACTGAAAGTTGTTCCCCAAGGGGAATGAGAAAACTGAAGAGTTGGGGAAGCAAAGAGACAGATTAATTTTAGAACATACACACACGAAACAGATCTATGTAGCGTGTGGAAGTATTGTGCCCAATAAAGTCTAAAATATTCCATTACCTGGCTGGGTTATCCTGTCACAGTAGTCAATCAGTGATGGTCTCCCTAATGGCTTTTAACTGGTTGACCTCTGCTGCATCAAGGAACCTTTTGGTTCCTTGATGCAAGGGGAAAACAAGCAGAAAAGAAGAGAGAGAGGGCAGAGAAAAACATTCCCCTAAGGAGTTTTACCTCTTGGCTGGCTCCCAGAAATTTTGCTGAGGGTTGTAACTGTGTAAGGTTCTTTGTATCCTGAACAAAGAATTCAGCAAGACAAGCAGAAGTAGAAGTGAAAGCACAGATGTATTAGCAAGGATATAGTCCTCAGGTTGGGAAAGGGCCAGTGAGAAGAACTAAGAGTCCCCAAGAAGCCAAGTGTCAGAGTCTATGTGTGGTTGTAAGGGAGGGAGCAGCTCGTGGAACACTCCAAGAGCTCTTCTCTCCAGCTGGTGATAAGACCTCCTTTCTGTGGAAGAGGGAGTTCTTGTCCCTCTGTAGACCTCTGAGGAACTGTCCTGGTGCCTGAAGCCCATGGGGGTAGAAGACCAAAGCCTCAATGTACATGAGATTGTAACCGATTCTAGTGCAGTTGGGGTCACTTTGTGTCCCACAGCACAGGTCCCCAGGCAGGGCTTAGCTGTTGGGGTGGGACCCTTGGTGAGAGCACATTTTGGCCTCTGGAGCCTACCATGCTTGCACCCTCTTGTCTTTAGCAGCGCTGCTCCAGCTGTCAGAGTGGACCATAGAGAACGCTGAGCAGGGAAATACTTCCCTGAGTGTTTCCGGCTTCTTGGGCATTGTCTGTTTTAAACACGTTTGCTGTCTCTTCATAAGGAGTTTCCTTCTGGCTCTTTCTGTCTTTTATTCCCTTTCTCTGACAAATTTTAAAATAATAATGTAAATCTGCCATCGTTACTTCCCCACATTCTGTTTATTCACAATCATGCTCCGATTTCCTTCCATACCTTCCTGCCCGTTTCTCTTGCGCAGACTCCTTCAGAAGTGAATGCAGGGTGCGCAGTGAGGAGATGAGAACATGGGGGTGGTGAGGTGCAGAAAGAAAGCAGCAATGAAAATCGCATCACCCGCCTGGCTCCCACTGTGGGGGGCAGAGCACCTTTTAATAAGCCCATATATCCTCCACCAAAAACACTTGATGCAGTGTCTGATCAAATATTTCACATATTTTAAAATGTGGGTCATTGTTTTCTAATTGTGACTGGGAGGTTTAAAATACTCTGATTGCAAATTCTTTTATTAAAGATGCAGAAACCCAAAATATAAATATAGAGCAAAATGAAAGACAGATGATAGAAAATAGGGAAGTAGATCTTTGCAAACAGAAAGAACAAGAGATGGAGAGAGGAGGGAGGAAGAGGGAAGGGGACGTAGAAAGCTAAGGTGTGTTATGTCCGTGTTGACGCCCCTGAGGCGTGCACTCATGACGTGCTGCAAACACGGACTCATAAAAATTTAAAAAGTTGCCTTTCATATATTTTCTCCAAGTCTGTGACTTGCATTTCATTTTTTCCATTATATTTTTTAGAACAATGTTATGTGAAGAATCAAAATTTCAAGTTTAACCCAATCAAACTTAACAAATTTATTTGTGGATCATTCTTTCTATGTAATATGTAAGAGATCTCCTCCTAACCCAGAGTCCCCAAAAGTTTATCCTATATTTTCTCCTGGAAATATACTATTTTAGGTTTTACTTACATTGTTATCCATTTTGAATTAACTTTTTATAAGTAGTTTGATGTTGGAACTCAGGTTAAAGTTCCGCTATATGTTTTTCCAGTGATTCTAGCATTATTTGTTGAAAAGATCGCGACCTGAGTTACCTGTGCAGCTTTGCACAATGAATCAGTTGCTCACACGTGTGTGGGTTTATTTCTGTACTTTCCATGCTCTGTCCATTCTCCTTGTCTTCACTGACACCCCACTTTATTACCCTAGCTTACCTGTAGGCAGTCAAACCAGCTACTATCAGTCTCCACCTTTGTTCATAAGTCTTGAAAATATTTGATTGCCCTTTACTTTTCCATACAGATTTTCCTGTTAAGTTCTATAAATACACCCTAATAAGATTTAGAAAGTGATCATACTGAATTTATGGTTTAAATAGGGAACTGTAACAAACCTGAGTCTTCCCATCTGAGCGTGGCCTATCCTTCCTTTTATTTAGCTAGTTTTTATCATATCAGGGACATCTTGTTTGTTTTATACTTACTTTATGCTTTGTGTCTGTTTTATTATAGTACCTTTTCAAATTCAGCTTCTATTTGTTCATTGCAAGTATATAAAAATATAACTTATTTTGTATATTGATCTTGTCTGTGATTTTTGCAAACTCACTTATTTTAGGTTTTTAGGGGATAAAATCTAGGGTTTTTTTATATTGACGATCATGTTGTCTTTAAATAGAGTCAGTTTATATTTCCTTTTAAATCTATATGCCTATATTTTATTTGCTATTTTTGTTAAAACATTTGTTTTTTAAATGATTGTTATTTTATCTTATTAAATTCTTGCCAGTTTGCTTTGAGGATTAGTAAAAGGAATTAGGCTTGAGCCACACCAGGTAAGATGCTTGGGTTGGATTGTCGGTTCATCTTTGTGCTTCTTTCCAATCTCCATCCACAATATGGCTCAACTTTGCTCAAGGCCCATTGACTGACCTACTCTATCCTCAGACCTGAGAGGGCATGAACATGCTTGGGGTTTAAATAATCACAAAGGTTCTAATTACTATTGGAATTACAATGGCTGTGGTTTTCCAAGACCCTTAGGTACAGATGGCACCTGATGCTTGTGAGATAGTTACCAAAGCTCTAGGGATGGATTTGCATGATGAGTTCAATTCCAATCCACATTCCAGACGATGTGGAGCCTTATTAGTTCATGGAGAAAGGTAATACCTTCAAGTGCAGTCATATGATCATCTTGCATGTTTAGGACAAAATTTTAGGAACCTTCCTCCTCTGGGCCTGAGCCCTTCATTTGCCCTGTTCTGCAGTGTGGGCAGGTTTGAACCTGTAAAGTTGTGCTACAATAAGATTAGGACATTTTATAAAGATGACTTTTGTAATAGGGATCTATTATTTTCCTGTTTTGGGTTGGTCAAGGATGGGGCCACATATTTATAATGAATTCATTTCCTTCTTGGACACAGTTTGTTCTCTATCAAATTAGAAACATGTCAATATGGTTATAATTTTATAATGTGAGTCTGTACACTCAATATATATGTCTGTATGTTCACTTCTTTATGTTAATGGGTAATACAATTTTTTCCAAGAGTAGAGTATGCCTTCATTCCCTTTGCCTTTTTATGTGCTTCAAAATTATCTGCAACAGTAGCCAGAAAAAGAACAAGTACTATATATAAAGTAGGAGAACTTTCAAAGAATGTCTTTCCTATGTTCAGTCCAGAAAAAAATATTATCTTCTTAATTTTGGTCAGATACTACTGAATTGTGAAATTAAAGAAGAATTTTAAAGCTGGTTTCCGAGAGAGAGAGAGAGAGAGAGAGAGAGAGAGAGAGAGAGAGAGAGAGAGAGAATGTATCAGTGTTGTAAATTGTCCTTTTTATCTTTGTAAACTAGGATGAAAAGGAGGAGCAAGCCTGCCCCAAAAAAGAAGTGACAGAGAAGGACAGTCCTGGGAGTGGATGGCCTCAGCCTCTGGACTCACCTCTTCCCAACCCACCCGGCTTCCTCTGGCGAGTTACCTGACTTCGAGGATGATGCAGGGGCAGACATGGGCTGGTGCCCATGTTCCCCATGGCCAGGGAGCCGCGGGGTATCCTGCCTGCAGGTGAGAAGGGTGTCTCTGTGCTCTGTTCTGTTTGGCAGTTCAGTGGCCGCCCTTGACTTCCACCACTAGGGCATAGATCTTCTGTGTCACCTGCCTTCCTTTCCTCTCTAGAAGGTGCACAGGCCACCGGGCTCGCAGGGAAGGGCAGTTCCAGTGCCAGCTTCCATGGTGCCTTCTGAGCCCCTGTTCACCTCTGTCCCTGGCATCCTGTTGCTGAGCATGGCTTTTGCTCTTGACCATTTTTGTAGTTAGTTCCCCATGAGTTCCTCTCTTCCTCAGCACCATTTGTTTTCTTTTTGGCTTCCTGAATCAGCTCCTGGTACCAGGTGGAGGCAGAGCCACTGGTGGCTCTGGACAGGCCCCAAACTGTGTTGAGTAAGATTAGGCTGCCATATAGTCCAGAGAAGCAGAAAAACCCAAGAGGGTAAGAGCTGTCTGAATTTGCACGTCAGGTGCAGCCTTCTCTCTGCTGTGTCAGAAGCAGACAGAAAAGGTGAGGAGGAGCCCCTACTCTTCTCAGCCTCATCTCAAGCCTCCTGCAGCATTTCTAAATGTTTCCTGAAACAGGCTGGGTGCAGCTGAGCCACCCGAGGCCTTCACACCTTCAAGCCTGGTCCAGCCAACCAGACAGTTGTTCCATCTATTAAAGCAGCTGCTTTCAAACTGTCTGACCTTGAGCAAGTTACCTGGCTTCAACCTCTTTGTCTTCTCCACCTACTTCCCCAGGACCATAGACACGGGGCCACTGTCCTCCTACCACTTCCCTTTTGGGCCATAGGCACATAGCCTGGGCTCTTTGATGAGATTAGAAAGAGGGTAGAGATTGCTTGAGGCACAGCCCTTGATTGCTGGGGAGACTGGTGCTCAGTACCTGTCCTGACCACTCTCCACATTTTGTGCCTCGTGATATGCTAGGATCAAGCAAGCAGAATAGGAGCTTGGCCTGGGGTAGGGAGACAGCCAAGTAAAGGAGGGCAGACTAGGAAAGTTGGCAGCCCAAGACCACCCCCTGAGGGAGGAAACCCCGTGGATGAGGGCGTTGGAACTTGGCCACAGCGGGCAGAGTTGTGGGTTCCTGTCTCTGCACTCCTCTTTGCTCCCCACCTTCTACATCCCTAGACTTTAAGAAGAACTTGGATCCTGAGTATGAGCTCTGATGGAGACAGCACAGACAGGGCTTCATCCCACCCCTCATGCCACCCCCACTTTATGTACAGAGTGGGGAGAGATTAGCTAGCTCAGAGGGAAGGTCTTCAGGTCATCTTTTGTCCCTGTGGACTGTGTGTGTGCTCAAGTGTACATGTGTGTGTCTGTGTGTGCATGTTCTGGGGAGCTCAGCCTGGAAGAATAGCTTTGAATTGTCATTTCTTTCCTAGGCCTAATAATGCAAGCCCCTCCTGATGCGTGTTTGGGTCTTTTTCATGCTGATGAGCTCACGTATGGCCCAGCTACCGCCTTCACAGGTCCCTTTGTGACTTTAGTAGTAGGCTTCAAGGAGTGGCCACTTTTCCTATTCAGCAGGGTGGCAAGATGGAAGGCCGGGGTTGGGGTGGATCCACCTCTCCAGGCTCCATCTATGTCCATTCCAGAGCCATTTCAGCTTGTTTTAGCCCAAACTTAGATGATTTGGTTATTAGCTCTGAAAGTTGAGACTGAAATGTAAAAATGATCCCACACACCCCAGCCCCAAGGGCTTTGCTCCTCTGCCTGGAGGCAGGCAGGGGCCTTGCCCAGCCTGTGAGAGGACGGGCTCCGGTTCTTCCAGGCCTGGCAGCTCCAGCTGGCTGTATCTCTTGTCTTCTTCCCATTCCCACCTCTTATGTGAACAGTGTGTATCATGCATGCCCAGTGCTGGTGCCTACCTGCTGCTGTCAGTCTGTGATTCCCCAGCACAGGTTACCTGCAGGTCCTTGGCTTCCTGCTATCCTGGAGACACTTCCCTTACAACCACATTGCCCTTGGTCTCCACAATCACTCACAGTCACTCTGCCCCACCCCTTTAGTTTTGTTTGTTTGTCCTCACACTTACCCTCAGGGATTACCTCGCTGGCTTACTGGTGTAAGGTGTGCTCTTTTCCCCTCCTAAGGTACTCACCCACTGCCAGCACCATTTACTTCTCTATCCCCCATTTCTGGTACTAGTAAGAACCCAATAAATCCTCACTGAATGAATGAGTGTTTGCTTGTTGCTTTTTGTGGGAATAATTTTTGAAAAGGACAGCTGCTTGGAGAAGTCAGGGGGTACTGCTGGTGACCTGGCAGTGTTTTCTGTGTGGAGTAAAAGGATGTGAGGAGCAGGGGTCCCAGAGTGTGGATAAGGTTCCCTCAACCTAGCATGACCACAAAGGGCAGCGCAGAGCAGGGCATGTGCCGGCATGGACTCAGGGGACCCCTGAACACACTGAGATGCTGCTGGGAAGGCAGTAGAGTTGGTGTTGAGGAAGGTGGGGACAGGAGGAATTTATGAGGCAGGAATGAGAGGTGAAGGCCCAGGTGATGCAGCAGGTATGGGAGGCAGTGAGAGAGGGTTCTGGTGGTTTGCAGGCCAGTGGCAGTAGCTTGAGGCAGTGCCCACCTGGGGCTTTGACTTGCTCTGTAACTGGGAGATGACGCAGCTTGCTCACAATTGTGGTGGAGCATGGGAGCCAGATATATGAGTGCAGAGATGAGATTACTAAAAATAACATCTTGAACCCTTCAATCACAATCCTTACGAATTTATAGGTTCAATTTATTTATTTAAAATTCAAGATGACATTTTGCCACTGTGTTGCTTTGCCTACAATTTCATATTTAGATCATACTTACATCTAAATCTTAGATCTAAATTAGAGAATTTACATAAAAGTATTCAACATGACACTAGAAATCCATCCCAGTTACATAAGCTACATTATAAATGACATTTTATATATTAATAATACATAAAATAGGATGGGAAGAAATGGAGAAAAGGGGAGGTTACGGTTTAGGTGATGATTTTACTTCACAATGAATCAGTGTCTTTTGGATTTAAATCATTTAAATAAAAAAACTTCTTAAGGCTAAGTTCTAGTAACGTGTTACATCTCATTTCCAAAGTGAGTTTCTGGACTTTGAAGTACACGACTGCTTCAAGAGTCCATTCCTACTCTGAAGCTCGAAGCCAGGGACCCCATTGTGTCTGGAGAGGATGCAGACTCCTTTCTAGCATCTGAAAGCTGTAGGATTTCAGCGGGGTCTGAGTTTCTATGTCCCTTGTCCTTCTGTAGTTAGGAGTTGTAAAATTACCAGTAAGGAAAGGAGAAAGCGTGTTTGAGTCCCTGTTTGAGAAGGTGGCTGATGCAGGTGAGATTCCTTTCTGGGGTGATTCAGCTGTTCTTGATAAAGATGGGGCGTTGCTGACATCAGCACTAACCGCAGCTCCCCTCAGTGCAGAAAGAGCTTTTGTTACTAATGAAGCTGCAGCAGGCTGAGTGTGTGAAGCAGGTGTTCAATGAGGTATTGAAATCATTCCCTTGGCCGGGTGGCAGCCTGCACTTGGCCTGTGTTGATTTCAGGCCACTACATCTGGTCAGTGATGAGATGGAAGTGTCCTTTTTTGTCCACCATGGCTCAGAGGGTGTGGGACTGGCATAGGGCTCAATAGACACTCTGGCAGTTTTATCAAGTAGGTCACCTTGTATGCAGGCAGAAGGTAAAGATTTCTCCAACACCTTGCATGTTCCTTTCTGGTCAGGTGGAAGTCCAGTCACAGGGGAGCGCCTATCAGGCCTCTTCCTCAAGAACAAGTGACAGATGGTAGGGAGCCGAGTACCATGTGGAAGATGCCCTGGGAGCCAGCCTGCTGTGTATCAGTAGGAGTCACACAGAACTTCCTGGATTTGGTTTTGTTTCTCTGGTTTCTCATACACATCACTCTTTGGGTTTTAGAAGACAGCATCTCAGCTGGGTGTACACCTGTCATCCCAGCAGGAAGACCACAAGTTCAAGCCCAACCTGGGCTTACTTCGTGTCTCAACAAGACCCTATCTCAAAGTAAAAATTTTAAAATGGGCTGAGAGATGTAACTCAGTGTGAAGGTCCTGGTTCCAGTACTCAGTACCAAAAAGAAACAGAATCAGTCTTCTCTCCAGAAAGAGGGTGCCTCATGCCTTGCTGCTTGTTTTGCTGGTGAACAGGCAGCTTTTCTTTGTACTTCACCCCCATTTCTTGGATTCTTTGTGGGTCCCCTCTTCCTGAGCAGACAGCTTCTGATCCTCCTCCTCTCCTGGTGTGTGGTGCTGAGTCAGGTCGTTTGGCAGAGACTTAGATTTCTGCTGATGGAGGTTGTTCAGGGTCTCTCTCCAGCTGCAAGGCCTTGCATTTTGTTTTTTTTAACCAGAACTTGGACAGGAAGCAGCAAAAAATAATTTTCCAAATGAAGTATTTTTCATCCAGCTATGTCTGCAGACAGTTCACTGCTCAGCTAGTGTAGGAAAGGCATTTGTTCTTTTCTTGTTAATGTGGACTTTGGTGTCATCTGACTTCCATTTTGTTCTCCGTGGTAATCTGTCCACTAACTCTTCACTTTGAAAATCATCTGTGCATCTCCTTCCCTGCGATTTCTCCTCTGTTCAGCTGCTTTGCATGTTATTCAGTCTCAACTCCATTATCTTTCTGAGCCACTGCTTCTCCCCAAGACACGTGGTCTCATTTGATTTGCTTTCTGATCTCTGCATGGACAGGCGAGGTGGGGCAGAAGCAGCTGGGGAGAGACAGAGCCCCAAGCCCCATCTGTGTGGCCAGCTCCAGGGCCCTTCTGTCCCTTCCCTCATTCGTCATTCCAACACACACACACACCCCTTTGACTTCAGTGTCAATTTTTCAACAACTTATATTCACAGAAGATCTTGGTTTGTAGCTTTCTACTGCACCCTTTCCACATTTTAATTGCTTTGGACTTAATAACCATTTTGCTCCAAAGTCTTCCCTGAAACTTATTTATGGCTCCTGGAACAGACAGCATGTGGTTGTTTGGAGCCCACAAATGCCTCTCTTTTACTTCTTTACCTTACATGATACACTGTTGTGAGGTCCCGTCACCCCACTGCTGCAGAGCACTGGAGATTCTCCTCCCACCGAACTGGCTTTGAATCCTGTTATCCATGCTCTCTGTCTCTCTCTCTTTCCCTTCCTGACCTCTGGAAACCACTATTCACTTTTTTTGAGACCAACTGTTTTAGCGTCCACATTTTGAAGCTGGAAAACAATGAGATCCCCAACAGAACAAATCACCCAACACAGAGCAGGAGAGAAGGGCAGCTTTATTTGCCGGCATCTCCACAGGGAACTCATGTCCTGCTGAGTGTGCTGAGGCTAGAGTCTTTGCAGACAAGTCAGGCCAAAGGCATTCATTCACACAGCTTCTGGGAGCACTAGTCTTCTCTTCCAAGAGGGTCACCTAATGATGCTGCAGGACAAGGGAAGAGTCGATTCCAGTGTGTGTGCTGCCAGCCATGGTGCCAGATGTTGTGAGGGTTTCTCTGAGTGTGAATCTGCTCATCTTCTGATGGACAGGCCAGTTGAGTCCAAATCTTGGTGCCATGGTTGCATTCATTCTTCCTTACATTTCCTTACATCTTCACAAGTCCTCAGGCAAGGCTTGAACCCAGCTTCTCATGGGATGTCTTTCCTCCCCTCTGGTCTGTTTCCATTCAAAGAGCTCTTGAGTCCTGGTCAGAGGATCTCAGGACTCATGGAAAGAAGTGGGAACAAGTGGTCCCAAGTGTGCTGGTGTGAGTGTGTGTATATGTGATAGAGATGTGGTGGGGGGAGGCGGAGAGAGAGAGATCTTTCTGTGGTGTCCTCCCTTCTTCCTGGCTCTGGGAGAGGTGATCTCCCTGTTCCATCACCCTTTGCTCAGTCATGCCAACTGGAAGTCATGGGCAGGAGGAGGTTTGGCTGGTAGTTCGCTCCAATTCTTTCCCCCTCTGACTTGTGAAACTGGAGTGTCTACAGTGCAAACACTGTGCTGACAAAACTTGATGAAGCTGGTTCTTAGGGCAGCTCTTTTCCAGAACACTCGAGACTTCCCTTGGGATGGGACTGATCTGGACCATGCTTCACAGTGACTTTCACATGCAAAGATGGCAGGAGACTTTTAGCTAGGACAGTGTCTGTATAGGGAGAAAAGCATGCTTGCAGGATATGTGCTTCTCTCTTTCTAAACACAGCATTCCTTTTCTCTCAAAATCTGAGCCCTATATTAAACTACTCTTAGTCTCCACTCATGTTTTTAAGAGCTCGTCTTTCATGGAACCCTGGAGTATTAAGCACTGTTAAACTTAAATCTAAAAGACAAAAATAATATCCTCCCTGAAGTACCTGGGCAAGTCTACCCATCACCAGTGGTAACTAGTGTCACTGGCCAAGGTCAGTGCTTGCTGACTGAAGTATAATAAAAATACGCTAGAGAGAGATCACTTAGGGATTTTCTGAGTATGGACTTTTAAGCCTTCATATGAACATGCTATTGACCAGGTAGAGTGTACACTCTGCTATGGTGAGTAAACTTTACCTAAAAACACATCTTTGAAATTACTTAAGTAGTAATGGAAAAATAATTATCATTAAGGTAAACCTGCCATTCTCAGGTACTGTAAGTTGCCAACACTTTTCCTAAAAATTTCAGGTTACTCTTGTCCTCTAGCCCAACCAGTTGTTTAAGGATCAAACCTATGATTCAGAAGGAAATGTGACTGTGATTTTATGTGTCAGGCTCTTGGGATAAATCACACAGGAAGCTGCAGCCAGACTCTGCTAGGCTGAGACTGTGAGCTTAATGTCAACTACACAGACTAGGGGAAATGGTATGGTCCTTCCTTTGTGGCCAGCAGGCTTGGGGTGGACTGCACGCCTGTGCTTTCATCAGCCAGAGTATCTAGGAGTAGTTGGCAGGATGCAAGGATCCTTGCCTCTGTGCCACAATTAATTCTCATGGTCAAGGTGCATGGTCTCATGGAAGCAAAACTGGCTTGCACCCAATAATGTATTGAACTAACTTTTAATTTATTTTAATTTTTAGACAGTCTGGGCTCAAAACACACAATCCTTTTACCTCAGCTTTCCAGACTTCTGGGATTACAGACATGTGCCACCTGCCTGGCTTCCCTGGCATGCACTAAAATTCTTGGCATTAGAAATCATTTTTACTTTGCCCTGAGCAATAGTTCTACGAATACTTCTATTTAAGCTTTATCCACAATTAATGTTTATAAAATAAAATTTTATTTGAATCTATTACCCTCTCAGTATAATCTGACTTAATAAAAATGTTGATTAAAATTGATTATCTGGGTCAGACATGGTAGCACATGCCTGCAATCCCAGTACTTGGGACGCTGAGGTAGGACGATCACTGAAAGTTCAAGGCCAGCTTGGGCTACAGAGTGAGCTCAAGTCCACCTTGAACTACACAGTGAAACCTTGTCTCAAAAAAGACAAAAAAAATTTAATTATCTGATTTCTAAACAAATATTTTATTTTTTGATATTTCTTTTTGCTGACTAAACTTGGCTAGTTTATTAATTTTAATACCTCCAACATAAGGGCAAATACTAATCAGTTTTCCAACTGTTAGCATTTTAAAAACAATGACTCAAAGACATTTTCAGGAAAATGGACAAGAGCCCTGGTTATTAGGAAGATGTGGGATTATCTAACTTTGAAAACAAAGCTGGCTTCACTCTGTCTGTGTTGGTGTGTGTGTGTGTGTGTGTGTGTGTGTGTGTGTGTGTACATGAAATGATGATCCTTGCCTTGCCCTTATCACAAAGTTGTGGTGAAGGTCAAAGGAGGTAGAGTTGGAGTCTGAGGGGTTAGCACATCTAGATGGGAAGAAGCTGTATGAGGAGCTGCCTGTCCACCTGAGTTTGTCATCTGTCCTGCATGTGTATTTATTTATATATACTGGACCCATTTGCTCCTGAGGAAAGGAGCGTTTTCTCGTGCTCTTGACAAAGAGCCACCCGTGTGCTGTATATAAACTTTGGCTGAATGAACAGCTCCTCAAGGCCAGCAGACTTGAGCAACGTGAAGTATTTGCCATACCAAACACTTTCTCCTTTCCAAGTGGCATTACAATTCTGGAGTAGTCTGAGAGCTTTGGTAAAAAGAAGGGGATTTTGGAATGGGAAGAAAGGGAAGGGAAGGCAAGAAGGGAAGATACCAAAACATGAGAGATATGAAGATAAAGGGTTAGGAAAAGAACAGAGAAAGCTTTATAGAAAAATCTAGTCAAATGTTACCAGTGAATTGAGATATCTGTTCTGCCTTACCATCTTTTGAAGGCTTCAATTTTGGAGTTGGATTTTCCTTTATGTTTTGGAAGATGTTAAAGTGCTGAGCTTGAATTTAAGAAGGGCTGAGGCTAGAAACAGAGCCATCTGTAATCCCAGGCTATATCTCATTTGCAAACAGCGATGTCCTATCTGCTCCAAGCCACTTTCCCTTACTCCATCTGAATTTGACAATGATGCTACGAATGGCTGCTCTCTATGGCCCTCTATAAAATGACAGGACTTTGACATCAAACCCAAGAACTTTCCAGGAGAGGAAATATAGAGAGGGGAGGAAAGAGGATAGAAGGACATGGTAGGCAGCCAGACATCTAGACAGTGCCCATCACAGCTGGCAGAACATATACTAGGTGTGCTGGAAAAGCCAATCAAAGTTTAGTTTCTATAAATGCAGAAAAGTTGTGGCAAGGGGAAGTAGAAATGACTCTGGGGGGAGGAGATCCAGGTTCTGTCCCTTGATCTGTCACTGAATGACAATGTCAGCTCAAACAACTCAACCCATCATCTTTGACTGCCCTTCTGTGTAACAAAGGGGTCGGATTAAAAGGTCTTTTCAGTCCTGAACTGTGTGATTTTCAAGAGACTATGTTGCCCTTAGTTTGAGTAAAGGGAACATAGGTGTGCAACACAAAGACACTTTGATTCATGCATTTTCTGTGCTAGTGGTTAGAGTGTAAAGAGAGAAAATTAGTCACTCTACTTCCTGATCTGGTAGGTGGAGCCTATCAAAATTTATCTATAATGAACAGCACTTTTATCTGTTGCTTTCTGTGGCTGTTTCTGTCTTTTATTCTTTGCAGTGGTTGAACTACACATTCCAGTATGCACCTACAACCCCTACAACTTTAGTCATTTAAAAAATGAGCTCTGAATGGAATCTCTTATATTGTACTTTTATGTCATTCTCTTGTTTTTTCTGTTCTCTTTGGGCCTTTTCCTTATTTATTTTTATGTCAGGAAAAGCTCCCTCTCAGGACTTTCAGATGCAAAAGACAGAAACAAAGAAGATTCATGTCCAGGGCATAGAGATGGTGAGGTTGAGCTGATCTCAGGGCTAGAGTAGCTCATGCGCTTTTCTCTTTGTTTGTATTCGTGCTCTGTGAATTGACTGTATGACTGGGGACTTGAAGTTCTAGGATTTGCCTTCTTTCAGATGTCTACTCATATCTTGGTTAAAGTGCACTATTTTTGAAGAAGGCAGGACATCAGGTGGGAATGCACAAGTCCAACCACTGGGGGCTGAGTAACTGCACGTGGGACGCTAGTTTACCAGTGTTTTCCTCCACAGCACTCTGAAGATGTCGTCCCATTGTTTCCATCTGTCATTGCCTTTAAGGAATCTGCTGTCAACCTACTTGTCTTTCCATTGTAAGTAGATTGTATCTTCCCTTTTAAAATTTTTTTTCTCTTTGTCTTTGGTAATTTGAAATTTCTCTATGATGTCACTAAGTACAGTTTTATTTCTATTTATACTACTTAGGATGCAAGTTTCTTCAATCTGAAGATCTATGACTTTCTTCAGGGACACATAAATAAAAAAAGTTAATGTTGCACAACCATAAAATTGGCAAAAATAAAAACAATTATCAAGTATTGGAAAAGATGTGAGAAAAATTATCATAAGCCATTGAGAGATGTAATAAAGTATTACAACACTTTGGGGTGCAGTCTGGGGATACTAGCAAGGAAGAATATTATATAATCTATAGTCAAGCAATTACAGTTTTAGAAATCAGCCTAGAGAAAATGTGTAGAGAAAGGAAATATACATAAATTTGATCAATGACTCATTATTTGAAATTGGAAGAGAAAGAGAGAGAGTTAACCAAAATATCTACAAACAGAAGAACAAATGAATTTGTTGTGGTAAAGTCACAAAATCCTAAACAGCAGTTGAAATCAATGAATTACATATACTCATATTAAATAGATAAATTTGAAAAAGAAATGAAGACTATAAATAGCAAATGGAAAGTGCAAAATGATATATAAATGTTAACAACCTTCAGTACAATATCGCATATTGCCCAGTAAGCAGAGGATGCAAGGTTTCACCCTTCCTCTATGTTGAAGTAGGATAAAAATGATGAGAAAATAAAAGAATATCCCAAAATGTATCATCTTGGAAATAAAAAGATCACAGGAATGATTCCTGGTTCAAGTAATAACCAAAACTAAAATGAAAGGGTTAACAATATTAGCCAAAACCATATTTAGAGAAATAAGTGGGAAACTGACGAAAGGCCTGGGGTGTCTCCACAGAGACGTTACAAACGCATTTTGGATCTATTTTGGATCTGGGCTATGACTAGCTTGTGATGGTTTCTGACCTGCGGGGACAAAGAAGGAGCTAGAGCAAAGCGCTGCCCCAAACTGTCCCTTAGTGGCAGGCAGGAAGCAGAAGAAGACTATAGAATGTTGTAGACTGAGGATGGATGTAAAAACAAGCAGGATGAGGGTAGAGGAAACTCAGGACTAGGACAGTGAAGAGCAGGAGGAGCAGTCTTGTGCTGAGAGCTGGTGTGGCCACGTGCAGGCAATGCCCAAAGCCCCAAAGGCTCTGTGTCCTTGAGTGAGCACAGCCAGGTCTGGCCAAGCATAAAGCAAGTGCAAACTCCGGAGCCTTGTCAGAGGAAGTCGTGTTCAAGGTGTGGCGCTGGGATGAGAGGAGCTTCCAGAGAGCAGGGAGGAAAACCGATCCACTCAGAAAGCCATGCCCTCAGAAAGAGAACTCAGTCCCGGCACTGTCCCATGGCAGTGGGAGGGTGAGGCCAGAGTGTCCCAGCTTCCTTCCTCCCCTGGAAGTGCCAGGCAAAGTCAGGGGTTTTTGACCATCATGGGACCTTCAGCTAGATAGAAATGGTCCTCTTGCCTAAACCCAGGTGCTAAATGAACAACAAGTCATGGCAGTCCCTACTGAGAACACTTTCCAGTGGGAGACACTTGCCTAAGGACACCACCCGACAGAGTGGGGGATGGGGAGGGAACACGTGGAGGAACCATGGTACAGGAGACAAACTCCTGGCCCAGCCCACCAGCCCAGGAAGGAAGCTCGTCATTCCTTCAACCTCTTTTGATTTTGGCCGAGCCAGGCCTCACACTCAGAGCTTACAGGGCTGTGCCTTTCAGGTCATCTGGGAGACCCAAGCTCATCATGGAATGGAGGGGAGGGAAAGCCCGGTGTGTATTAACTCATGCAGCAGTTGGCTGTTAGCCAGTAATGTTAATAACCCAAAATTGCTGAATTCTCTGTTTGTCTGTTACGGAAATAAAACCTTCGGGGGATGGACCAAACATCTCTGGAAATTACTTGAAGCTGGTGGATAGCTAAATATATTGTGCCTTGGACCCTGTAATTAAACTGTATAGTTTGTTTGTAAAGCTTGGTCTTGGGGAGTCCCACCTAGTAAACACTGTGGGAACTCCCTGAAGCTCTAGAGCTAGCGAGGTTGTACATGTTCTCGAGTGGGAATTCACAGCTGATGGCCATCACATCCTGATATTCTTCATGGCTGTGTGGAAACTGAGTTGTATACCCAGAGTTACCCTGTTAAATGAGGGTCCTTAGGGGGTCCCTAGGTAGAAAGTCCTGATTTACTGGGTTTGCTAATTTCCATGGTATAAATATTGTCGCTGTGCTGATCCCAAGCTGTGAATATGCTGCCCCCAGACCCGGAAGAGCTGTGCACAAAGCTCTGAGGGCCCCGGTGGTCAGTGTCCGCACTGCACAGGGCCTGCTGAGCTTCCTTGACTGTCATTTGAGACTGTGCCTTGGGGATCCTTATTTGAGCCTGGTTTGTGCTGATCGAGACATCCAGGAGCTCTAGACACACTGCCCTGTCCCTAACACCTGCAAAGAATGGGCAAGGCCCCTGAAAGATGACCTGGTGGCTCCCAGCAAGGAGCACCCCTCTTTCTTGGCTCCTGACATCGCTGAAAGCTTGGATACTGTTGAAAGCCCTTATGCAGGGGAGAGAACAGGAACATCAGAAGACATGGACAGAGGGGCTTGGCTACCACTTCCCGCCTTTCTGGTTGTAGACATCATCTGGAGAGCAGAAAAGGCAGACTCCACCAGCCCCATGGAGACTCCCGGAAACAGCTTACAGGATGTCTTAAGGAGTCCAAGTGCTTCCCTCACAGGCTGGGACATGAAGGCAGATAAATGCTGTCCAGTTTCTGTGGTCACTTCTGTGTGCGCTTCCCCCTCCCTTCTACCGCCCCGCAGCTCTCCTGTGCTTTCCCTCCTCATTCAGACCCATTTGCTGCATGCTCTTGGAGGCTGAGCGGCAGCCTCCTGTTCTGACTGTGGCCACTGAACCTCACCCCTCCTCCTTGCTCCATTGCGTTCCTGACTTCCTGGCACGACAGTCTAGGTCGTCTCCCCCTTGAGGCTTTGCCACTCACGTGAACTTGATACAAGCACCACACTCACCAACTCTCTTGTCGTGGATTGGATCTCTCCATTTTCTTATTTTGTCTGAGTTAGTTATTCACTGACACCAGTTATATTCCGAGGATCCCATAGGTTTCCATGAGAGCGGGTGGGATTGTTGGAGAGAGAAGTGTCCCCAGCAGCATCATGCAGGTTTGTGACACAGTGAAGTTGTAAAAAGATTCTGTAGGCCTCAGAAGGATCACAGGCTCTAGCATTTACGAAACCCAGTGTAACTGATTCACAAGACACTGACTCCAGAGAAGGTGAGGCATCTGCTCCTGGCTCTCACTGCAATTGTGCTGGCAGCCACCCTTCCCTGCCCAGTGTTCAGGAAGCGTCCTGTCATGAGGAACAATGTTGTGATGGAGGCTGTGAGGACAGATAGGGGTGGGCAGAGGGTCAGGAAAATCATGCAGGAGGCTGCTGTGAGTCCCACTGTTGGAGTAGTAGAACTTTATCTGCTGGACATCAAGTTAGTTTCCTCACCTGCAAATGTCAGGGAGAGGCTGACAGGATGTTGCTTTGCGAGGTCACCCTGGGGAGGTGTGCAGTACCTGGTGGGTCAGCAAGGACAGATGCGGGAGGGCAAGGTGGGGGCGGGACCCTGTCTGTGGAGTTAGTATTTCATTGTAGAGTTTGAGACAGGTGTTCATCATGTCAAGACTCATCTGGCAGGAAGATTCTGGAGACGTGTGGCACAAATAGGACACCTGGAGGCACAGACCAGAAAGGGCCCAGAAACGGTGGGTTCAGCCTACAGATCCACAGCCATATTGCAGGGCAGTGGTGGTCACAGGGGAAGCGGGGGGACACAGCTGTCATACAGGACAGTCAGATTCCCATCCTGGGCACAATGCTTTGAGCGCCCAGGGTCGGCTCAGAGGAGAGGAGAGCCATGCTCTCAAGCAGCCTCACTAGGGCTGCATGGGGCGCACACTTGCTTGAGGCCCTAACAGTGCTTAGGGCCCTAACCAGCTCTGCACATGTGGGCTGTGGGATGTGCTCAGGTTCCCAGCACACAGATGGCACAAACTATTCCACTCCACTGATAAGCGAGGAGGCTTCCTTTGCGCAGCCTTCTAGACACTGATAAGAGAGCAGGCTATTTTATTCAGTCATACCTTAGAGACAGTGTCTTGCAGGTGAGAGAGGCAAGGTTTGGGTCCCTACTCAGAGTCACACAGCTGTCTGTAAGACCTGAGGTTCTGACAGCTGTGCATGCTCTTCTCTTTTGCCTCCATCTCCTGCTAACTCCCAGTGAACCCCAACTTCCTGGCACCAGTGGCAAGGCTGGCAGTGCCTTGTGGCAGGGATGGCTGGTCCCTGCTGTGCTGTCCCTTCCCTGTGGCATGGCCAATTTCTCTGCAGGCCATGTGACCAGGGGTGGCTACTAAGGAATTACAGGTGCTTGTAGGGAAAGGCCATGACTCAGCCTTTCCATGCAGAACTGTCGAAGCCAGGAGGGTAAGACCAGAGGTCAGAGGCCACCACTTCAGAAGGGACTCTGTGATGATAAAACCATCATTCTCAATCCTTTTTCCTTGTATGATGAATCCTGATCCCTGGGTTTTGTACTATTACTCATCCATCCTAATAAACAATGGCTCTATTTATACTGATTTAATTTGGAGACATATAGCTTTATTGTACAAGTTTTATAAAAGAAATAAGTGAGCTTCACATGTTGGCATTGCCCCAGAACTCCTACCTAGTGAGAAGCAAGTGCGGTTGTACCTAGTGCCTGAGCCTCTGGCTGTCTTGCCTTCCATGTGGCCTTGCTGTCCTCCAGGGCTCGGGTGCTGCCACCTGGCCTGGTTGTGGTCCGATCAGAGCTCAGTGACTCATGGCACTGTGGATCTTGCGGTCCTGTTTTTGAGCTGACCACATCCTTCAGCTGGACTCTTCTTTCCCAAACAGTTTCCCAACACCAGGGGGGCAGCGCCCAAGTATTCAGAATGCAGCTTTTTTGGGAAATGGAGCAACTTCCCTTTGAGCTGGACCCACTCCAGTGCAGAAAGCGAGGAGTGTCCCAAACTGCTATTTGCTGGGTGAATGTCTCTTTCCTACCCATTAAAAAAAAAAAACCAGGTTCACTGTGCTTTGTGTTGGTCGTATGTATTATTTAGGTTATGTAGGCTGAAGTAACACACCCACTCGAACTGACCAGTGTTTACACCACATAGTCAAAATCTGTGCCTCAGCTCAGCTGACTAACTGTGGGTTTGCTGAGCACCCCCTCTCCATGCAGCCACTGAAACATCTAGGATGACAGAGACCTGCCATCCCAGAACAGGGTCCAACACCTCCATTGTCCGTCCTTCTCAGCCAAGTGGGGAGGGGAGACTATGAAGAACACCCAGGGAGGCTTCTGTGGGCCACACCAGAAGTGCAGGGCACGTCTGATTTCCCGTCACCTGGTGGGGAGTTCCACGTGCAAAGGAGGAGGCACGGTAGCCCCCTGACACCCAAGGAGCAGACAGACTTTGGTGCATGACGCACTCTTTTCACTGCTTTCCGCTCTGGTAAGTGATAGTCTGCTCGAGCACATTTAACTGCCCTTTTCGGTTTGCTTCCTTCTGTATTTTCCAGGACTCTATTTAAAAGTATTTATAATTTTGTGCTTTATTGTATTTATTCTTGAAGTCTTCTATAGAAGGATTCAGGAAGGAAAGGAAGTAAGTGATACAAACAATAAACTGAGCAATAGGGTAGAAGAAACAGCATGTAGAGTTACCGTGCTCCCTCTGTCCACTGGTTTGAGGGAAAATGGACCGACAGCAGCCTGCTTTCATTTTTAAAAAAGGCTTACGTTTGGGCCACATTCATCAACAGTGCGTGGGTCTCAGGTCCCGCCTCGGGGGCTGCTCCCGTCAGACAGGCCTTCTGTGATGGGAGAGGTGACCTGAGCCCTTCTGTGACTGGGCACATTGGAGGACAGAAGAGACTGAAGAAAGTGGCATCTGTGCGCATCTGGAACTCCCGTTTTGGATTTTCTTCCAGGAAGACAGAGAAAGTAGGAGTCACTGCTTCTATAAACATTTCGTGTCAGTCTACTGACATGACAGTCTACATTAAAATCCCTTTAGTTCTTATTCACCTTAAGACTTGAATAAAGACTTGACTTAATTTCAAAATCAACCCTGCTAAATTATTAAAAATTCAAAAAATGGGATAATAGGTGATATTTGAAAAAGTAAGTGGAAACTTTGTTATGATTGAATGGTCTCAAGATTTATTCCACAAATGAGGAAAGCTAGGCTGAAGGATTGGGGAGGACAGGAGCACTGACCTAAGAGCAAGCGCTGGTTTCCACACAGCAGCGCCTGCCCAGCGTCCCAGGAAGGCTGGCGGTGAGGCTGGCAGGGGTGTGTCAGTGCTGCTCTCTCCCCTGAGACCCAGCCAACTCTTGCATAGTACGGAGTCACATTCCTGACTTCTGGGGAAGAACACTCCTGTACTTCCAATATGAAAAAGTTTGTGTGTGACAGAAATATTCTCCTTTTCTTCCAAATGTCAAAAGAAGCAAATGAAGGAAAATACCACTTTTGTAAAACTGGAGACAGATTTAGGATGTAGGTTTCACAAAATGAGACCCCTGCGAAGGTATCAGTTCAGAAGCTGCAGGGGAGGTGGGTAGAAAGGCTGCCGTGTCCGGCAGATGTCTCTCCTGTGGGCTCCAGACACACAGCCAAACACACGTCTTTTGCCCATATCGAGGGCTGGCGGAACTGGGAATACAGGGTGGAGACTGAGTGGAAACAAGAGGAGTGGGAGACGGAAGGCAAGAAAATCACCGCGAGTAGCAAGCAATGGCAAATCTCAGAAAACAAAAACTACAAGAATTGACAGTCCTGACTGTCCAACCAGTTCAAACGCCAAGAAAAAATTGAAAATAGTTAACCTAGTATCCTTGGAAAGATAGATTTTAAAAGTTAGCAAAAATTTATCAGATAAAAAATATCAGCAAAACTTGCAATGCAATATGTGAATATTGCAATTTGATATTTGCCAGGAGACAGAAAACTCTCTAAGACCTAAGGGAGGAAATAGAAGTGAGCTGTCCAAAAGAAACACAAGAAATTAAAGGCAGCAATTCAGTGCAGAGCAATCCCGTAAGATCCTCATTTTTCTTCTCATTAGTAAATTCCATCAGTCAGTGTTTGTCAGGGTTCTCACCCGAGGAGGGAGGATGAGTTATAGGCCTGCTAGGAGCCCCTCTGTCTGGTAGAGCTTCGGGGAAAGAAATGCATAAAAAAATAAACAACAAACTGAAAAACTTACAAAGATGGAGAGCACACATATTTCATAGCAGAAGAAAAATCAGTTATATTTGTGATATTACTAAATGTAAATAGGCTCAAATAATCTAGTAAGAGAAAAGATGTTCCAGTTAGGCCACAGAGCAAGTTGAAAAGAAGAAAAACATCTAAATCAGTGTTTCAAATAGGCTGAAGATAGAATAATGTTCCACTTCAGGGAAAGAAGGAAAAAGATCACAATGTTTATATCAAATAAGATTATTAATGCCAACACATGCAAAAAGAGACTGCTTTTTTATTTTAAACAGAATAAAACAAAGCAGAACAAAGCAGATCAGAGTAAAACAATGCAAATAACACAAAATTTCAGAACAAGACAACAGGAAGTCAACAGTGGCTACCATAATGTCTCTTGTTCTCTTCGAAATAGTTGTCCACGGCGACTTCTGGGAGAACATGGCGGACAGATAACAGCAACTACCGGAGGCTCTCTGAAAAACTAGGCTCAGAAGCCAGGTATGGTGCGGACTAAAGAGACATAAGCAGGTGGAGTTATGCTCTGCTGACTCAGGAACGAACTCAGCTGAGAGAAACCAACTTGGAATGCAGTCCTGGTGCTAAAACAGGAACAGAAAAGTCTTGCTGCTGAGGCTGGACCCTGCACCATTGGAAGCCTCGATTTGGGTTTCCCGCCGCGCAGTGGCTGGCTGCCTCTACATCAGCTCGGCAAGGAGAGAGACGCGCGGAAACTCTGAGAACGGGAGTCTGCGAACGGAGTCGAAAACAGGTCGGGCAGGGAGGCATGTTCTGACTTGTGGCGAGGTGAGTGAGAGAAACTGACACTCCACCACAGTTTGACTCCAGCGGACTTTCTGGGCCCAAGCAGTCCTGCGGGAACAGGGCGCGCTGGTGACTCCAGACACATTCCCCTCTCGGGCGGGGTTGGTGAAAAGTGCCTGGCCTGCGAGACACTGCCGGCGGACCCCGTAGGCTGGCCCAACCCAGATCGCAGAGCCTGACGGAGGCCGGGAGGGGCGGGCCCCACATAGGCTGCCTGGTGCGCAGCAATGAGTGGGAACACCTAACCGGCGCAATTCGATCAGGCTGTGGCTGACAGGGAGAGAAGCTGGGCCTCTCATATAAGCTTGCATATATAAGGAACAGAGAATATGGGAAGAGGCAGCAACAAGAAAGGCTCCTCGGCCCCCAATTCTGAGAAACAGGCAATAGCGGACACCGCACCAATACACATAAAGCACCATATAGAGAGCCTCATAGACCAATTCAGGAATGAAGTTATCAACGACCTGAAGCTAGAAGTATGCAAAATAGTTAGAGAAATGCTAAGCCCCACCCAAGAAAAAACAGATGGTGGAATGGAAGAACAGAAAAAGAGGGGAGAATTGTTTGATGGAGAAAACAGGGAAAGCATAGAATACGTGAAGCAGGTTCAAAGGGACAACCAAGAAACTAAGAAGTCTATCGAAGACTGGCATAACAGCTTGAAAGAAACTAAGGACAGACTATCTGAACTGGAGGGCAGAATTGTAATATGGGAGAATGAAATGAAAAACTTCTTAAAAATAACAAAGAAACAAACAGCAATAATACAAAGACAAGAAGATGATAAGAGGATCCATAACTTAAGGATTAAGAACATAAAAGAAGAAGTAGGGACACAAACAAATGAACTACAAAAGCTACTCACAGAAATAATCCAGGAGAATTTTCCTAATTTAGCAAAAGGTAAAGATACTCAGATGTATGAGGCATACAGGACCCCAGCTACCTACAACCCAAACAGAGCAACACCCAGGCATATAATAATAAAAATTCCAGAAATTCAATACAAGAACAGAATATTAAAAGCTGTCAGAGACAAGAAACAGACCACTTACAAGGGAGCACCCATCAGAATTACAGCAGATTTCTCTGCACAAACCATCAAATCACGAAGAGCGTGGGGGGAAATAATTCAAGCTTTGAAAGATAATAATCTCCAGCCAAGATTGAGATATCCTGCACAACTGTCCATGGAAATTGATGGGAAAACAAGGTGCTTCCAGGATAAAGAGGAACTGGGGGAATTTGCAACCACCAATTCAACTCTACAGAGAGTATTGCAGGATATTCTAAAAAAAGAAAAATACAAAGAATCCAGAAATAGTGGAGGCCACAACTAATGGAGCAGAGAACAAAGTGAAGAAGACAAACTGACAGCTACTGACAGAATAAGAGCTCAACAGAAATGAGGCAGAGAAGATTGGATGATAGGAACAGCTATTTTGGAGAAAATGACATCTTAATAGGTAATACTGATTTAGTATCATCTTGTTTTGAAGTCTCATCTAGCTTTTGTCCTTCTGTCTCCAATGGTCTAAATAGGTTGTATCTTACTGGATTTTATTATGTACGACAGTATAAGCAAAAACCTTTTAAAGACAAGGAGATTACACAGAAACCATTGTTCATTTTCTGTTAGTCGATTCTAAATACTCTGTAATGCTGTCATTCTCTTAAATGGTTTTACATTGTTTTGATATACTTAATGCTACAGTATACGAAGTTGTACTCAAGGATTTCAAGGAAAGAGACAATATGGTAACTACTTTTAGGTCAGGATTATCTGGTGGTGAAACACTATTCTGCTTAAATGGTTATGTTTTGATCTGTGCTGTTTCGTTGTTATGCGCTCTTTTATCTCAATGTCCACTCCATTATTTACTTTTTTAATACTTTTTAAAAATTTTTTATCCTTTTAATTAAAGGAAAAAAATAGCAGGATATATTATAGTAACCCACTTTGACTTTCCATTACCTCGATTTAAAGCCCTGTATTACTCTCACCATCTGGTTTTTGTCTGATGTTCCCCTATTCTGTTTTGCTGGATAGTATCAGGTTTGAAAATTTAGGCATCAGCTGTGAAGATAATGAGATTCATTATAACGCCCATTCTCGTTGACTTTTATCTACTTTTGAAGACCTACAATGTCTCCAATGGTTTGGCTTTGTTGGTTTTGTTCTTTACTGTTTTGTTCAATTGTATTATAAACTAATGGTATAGGCAATTCTATTAGAGATAGCAGGAGGCATTATGGTAACCATTGTTGATCACCTTGTAATATGTTTTCACATTATCTATTATGTCCACCCTTTTGACTTGACCGATTCTGTTCTGTTATGTCACATTTGGTTTTACTCTCTTCCAAAAAAGTAATAAGAACCGTGAGAGCAATGAAACCCAAAATGTGTAATAGTCATTGTACAAAAGAGAGGAAAAGAAAGTGCTCTAAACTATATAACAGCATGTATATTTAAGTGTATAAGATAGAATATGATATCACAGAGTTTTATTGGATCATTGAACAGAACTGTTTGCAGTATCATTGATGGAATGTCCACTTTACAAGCTTTAATTTTGTGACTTGAACAATTATTTCTAAGATGACAGTATGTAATCCATTAACTAGTGATTTCCTACTGTTCATTTTTTTCTGCAAATCTGTATAACTTGTACCCTTTCTCTGCTTTTTTTTTCTTTTCTCCTTAAATAAAATTTAAAAAAAAAAAAGGAAAAAAAAAAAAGAAATAGTTGTCCACACCTACACACACAATAAGTTAATACAAATCAAAATAGTATAAAAGCAATTAAAACAAAAGAATGAGAGCTTTATGGGCCTTCAATACCAGACACTAGGAAATCGATTATGGCTACCATAATGTCTCTTGTTTTCTTCAAAATAGCTGTCCATACCTTCATACATATTGAAATCAAATAATTGAAACAGACTAAAATCAATCAAAGCCAAGAATAAAAGCATTATTGGACTTCAAAACAAAAGGCTACGTTGTTATTGCTTTGGTGGAATTTATGAGATGAGGGAAATAACAAAAATGAAGGACACAAAGCAACCATAACAAAGATCGCTTTCCTCAACTCTGAGGAAACACTTCAAAAATCTGGGCAGAAGAAAAATATTTTTAGGGCTGGGGATTTAGCTCAGTGGCATAAGTACCTGCCTGGCAAGCATGAGGTCATGAGTTCAATCCCTAGTACAAAAAAAAAAAGAAAATTAGAAAAATGTAAGTTATAAAAACTGATCTCAAAAGAGTAAGGAACATGACCACAGTTTTAAGCGAATAAATGAAGCTACCACAGAGCTAGCCCTGGAGCATGCATGTCACCAAGCTGGCATGCTTTTGACTGTATACTTCTATGAAATCTTTCCAGGTAATTCACGTGTGCTAGGTTTAAGTGAAAATAAATTCTTCTGAATATTATTTCTAGAATTTATAGTATGGATTTTAAAACCTGAAAAGTTTTTCATAAATTCACCACCACATAGATATCTTCAACTGACTCATATCCAAGCAGAAGTTGTTATTTTTCTCAGTATTTTCTCTTGCATTTACAAACTAGAAATGTGCAATCCCCTTTCAATTTGGAGAGCTGATTGGTTGCTCAGGCCTCTGAGATCTACCTCCCCACGTGTCTCGACTCCATCATTTCTTCTCTCTCTAGAGAGTCCTATCAGGTATTGCAGGAGGAAGTATGCAAAATATTGTTTGAGAAACACAGTTCTGGTGATAAATATTTGTGCAATGGCCAACTTTTCACTATCTGCTTAACCTTTACAATGCTTCTTTGTAAGTTTTCTACCAGAAAGGAAGGATGCCTTCGGGTCAACTTTTTTCTCAAGGTGCTTATGGATGTTGAGGGAGAGAAAATGTATGGACTCCTGCTGATAACTTAAAACTTTGTGTCTAAATGTGATTTGGAAGGGAAGAGCAGAAAGAAGAAGATGTTAGCAGATTAACATGGTGATATATATGAGTCCCTGAATAAAAGAGGGCTCATTAACAGATGATTAATAAAATCACACAGCTGAATATTGTCTTACATGACTCTTTTATATTAAAAAAAGAAACAGTTCTGACAGCCACCAGCCATAGGCACAGGCCTCATAACCAGGAATATTCAAGGAGATGAGCCAGGAAGACCTAGGGTGCACAGCTAAGAAAGTGAACACTCACCCTCCATGGGCCAGGGGCTTTGCAGACACCCAGTGTCCTCCAGCCCCACTGTGGTGGTGCAGTCAGCTCTCCCTGCCTGGATGGATGAAGGAGCTGCCCTTGGGCTCCTGAGATCTGACAGACAGCACTAGTCCTCCACATGATGGGCTCTTTCTGCAGACTGTGCATTCGCAAGGTACTGCTGTGTTCCCCTCCAGTTTGTAAACTTTGCACTGTGTCTTAAATCAGTGGTGGCAAGTTCCAGGGTGGCAGGAGGCTTTGGAACCACATAGCTGAGGTATTAGTCTCAGTGCATCCCAGTTCTTCACTCTGAGATACTGACCAGGCCTCTTAAATTCCCTGAGCTGAAGTTTCTTCATCTGTTTCACAAGAAATGTTATCTGCTCAAGAGGGGGATTTCAAGGAATAATGATGTTCAGCACAGGTCCTGACACCCATGACTGCACAACAAATGATAATATCAATCATAGATACTATTATTCAAATATTAGCTATGTAACAGTGTTTGCAGAGCCCTGGTCTGTGGATTGGCTTCAAGGGACAGGCAGGGCTAAGGCACATCTCTTGGTTCTTAGGAAATTTCATTTTAGTGGGGAGATTTAGATGAAAAGTTTTACCTAGTACCCAGATCACCTATCTGCACAGGGTTGAGGTTTATTCAGTGGCTATTCCATAGAGACAGCTGTTTACTGGGAACAGAGACTCCACCCGTACTTTTGTGATTGTCTGCATCCTGTCAAGCCAGCCACATAGCAGCTGACACGCAGCTTTGAAATGGAAATCATCAAAGTCCTTTCTGAGAGAAATAACTGAAGATGTGCTCTGGGAAGGATGTGACATTAGAAGCCAGTGCTCTCCAGGGATTAAGTTAGCTTGGCCTGCTCGTCTTCCTGAACTGCAGCTGAGGATCAGAGCAAGGGCGACAGTGAATGTGGAGTAAATGCAGCATCCGTGGAGCTGATATCACTTACACTGAATACATCTACATAGTTTATGTCATTTTACGAGACACTGTCCTCATTACTGATCACAGATATCAACTCTCTTGCCTTTATGGCTTCGGCATGACTCGACAAAGAATCAGTCAAAGCCAGTCTAGAGTACTGCTGATGCTTTGCGGAAAACCACCCCACACCACCTTGCTGTCGCATAGCAGCAGTATTCAAACTACTAAAATTTCACCTTAAACTCCTGAAATCAAATATATCACAGGATCCTTAGAAACAGAGTCAACTGAATGTGTCCGTGTGCAGGTGTGTGTGTCCCACGATTGCAGGTCCCCGGAAGTCCTGAGGTCCGCGTTTGCAGGCTGGAGATGCGGGAACATGAATGGTGCAGCTCTGCCTGACTCCAGAGCTCGGATACCTGAGAAGGCTGTGGTGGACGCACCCTCAAGGACCACAGACTTGAGACCCAAAGGGACACCGCATCAGTCAGAGTCTAGTGGCAGCCAGCATCCCACTCGAGGCTGTCATGCAGGGCTCCCCTGGGGTCCACGGCAGCAGCCTGCTTGCTGTAGTCAGGGCTTGGCCTGACTGGATGAGACCCCCGCAGAGTGAAGAGCAGTCAGCACCATTCAGTGTGCGTCTCAGACATCAGCCCTGCCAGAAATTCCCTTCCCAGAGACACCGATGTGATGTCTGACCCAAACTGGCGTTACAGAATTAACTACCACCAAGCAAGTGTGGATTTCATGTACATTGAAACAATTTTTCAGATGTAGGAACAGTATAGTTTCTAGAACCTGTAGACTGAGTGGGTTATAATGGCCTAAGTGAAGCACGATGATTTGTTAAGCCATAATAATGAAATACCACCCTTTCCAGTTTCAAATGAGTGCACATTTTATTTCCCAAAGACTTCTCTGTCCAAATAAATAGCCATTAGAGGGAGCTCTGGTTGCAGTTGAAAAACAAAATTACCCTCAATTGAAAATGCTAACTCAGAACTCAGGTTTCCCTGTTTTCATAGCTGTGTGCCTGTGTGGGTCTGAATGTCTTAGTGACACTGGAGACTGAACCTAAGGCTTTGAGCATGTTAGGCAAGTGCTCTTCACTGAGCTGCTCCCCAGTTCTTTCCCCATTTTCTTTTGAGACAGTCTCAGCAAGTCTCCCAGGTTGGTCTCAAACCTGTGATCCTCCTGTCGCAGCCTCTCAAGTAGACAAGATTTCAAGAGTGAGTCATTATGCCTCGTTCAAAGTGAATATATATTTTAAAACTCTGAGAACAATGAAGTGTATTCTAGAACTGGATGAAATCAAACTCGTTTCACGGAGTATAGAACTTGCAAGATGTAGAGGTGAAGCCAAGAGGCTCCTAGGTTTGAGTTTCAGGGAGGCCATGGATGGCTGTGTGCCCACTGCTTCCCCCTCTTCCAGCCCCTTCCTTTCTGAAGTGACGAAGTCATGCTGGAGCCTGCAGACATTTCACAGCAGACTGGAGAATTTTATGTGAATGAAAAATTTAAAAAATTTCTTAGTTTTCTTGAAAATATTTACTTCTTCATTGCTGATGGTTCCAAAAGGCTTATTTTAACCATATTCTCAATAAAACAGAGAGTGCACCCACCCTAGCTCTGCTGGGAGGTCTCTGGCTTCCCTGAAGTCTGTGGGGATGGAGTGGTCCCTGTCTAGATAGATAGCACAGAAGTCTTAATGTGCCCCCAAGTCTTCCTGCCTGGTGTCAGGTTGGTGCTGCCAAAGTGACAGTGGTGGCTCATAATTACCACCATGTCATGTTGCAAAGGCAGAGTGTCTTTGATTGGCATAAGGTACATTCAAAGCTCGGCTTCAGAGTCATAAGTCATTCTGCAAACGGGACTCCAATTTGACACAATGAAAATCACTGCAGAAGAGGAACATGCCATGGCTTCATCACGGGATGATGAGGAGAGAGCAGAACTGCAGTGATCACCAATACAGCTACTGAGGGAGCGCTCAGCCCATCTGTGCCAAGTCAGAGCAATAGCACAGAGGGCTGTGGCAGTTTGGGAAGAGAAGATGCTGGGGAGCTGAGTCCTCACCGGGATGACAGACAAGCTCTGCTCAAAGGACTGTGGGCACAGCAGGCAGAAGCTCACTGTGGAAAGTAAAAGGCCCTGGTAGACCCGTTTCTGTGCTATCAGCACCAAATGGCTTAGCAGCGTTCCCAGTGGAGACTGTCGGTATTGTGAGTTGCAGCATTTCATTCACTGGTTCGTTATAACAGTAGATCATCAATGAGTCAGCACGCTCAGAAATAAAAATAAAGCAGTTCAACAAGTAAACCAAAACAAAACCCAGTAAATTCATCTGTCAGTGTTTTACCTTTAGCAAAACAGTGTCATCCATTACGTTACACTTGTTTATCTGAATTAAAGAGTTTTGTAGTTTTGTTCCTGGGTGATTATTCTGAAAATACATCAAGGGAAGAAAATTCATCTGGTGTTTTCCTTCACTCCAGACTCACTGTGGCCCTTGAGAGGCCTCTTGGCCTGGCCTCACCCCTCTATCTGATCTCACACCTCTCCTGCTCTGTAATCCTGCTGCCTCCAGGTGGAAGGAAATGAGGAAATGCTAGGGTACAAGGAAAGTTCGGGCAAGTAGTGGAGACAGTTGCAGGTCATTGGGCATGGCTGAGTTGAGCTTGCTCTGCACTCTGGGATTTCTTGCCAAAGCACAGGATTCCGTAGCAGACAGCTGGTGCATATTGCTTTGAGCTCCTTTTGCTGGCTTGGCCCTAACTCAACAGTCCTGACACGCTGAGGTGTTAAGGATATGCAGGGAGGTTTTCAGCAAATCTTAGAATGAGAGGAAGACTCCATGCCCTCTGTCCCAAGCGGTAGGATGAAGTCAAGAGCGGGGACGAACCAGTGTCCATGGTTCGAGGGGATGCCCTCTCTTCACCCATCTCCATTTTAGGGACAGAACCTCTCTCCCCATTTCACTGCCTTTGTTCTTTCCCGTTCTTAACCTTGTTGACAACTTTTATACTGAACTTTTGCTAAATGAGGTGGTTAATCTTATCATGAGACTGTTGTCTCAGAACTTTCACCCTCCCAGGAAGAAGCTGGGGATGAGTCCTGCAGCCCTTGCCCTTCAGGAATGGGACTGGTTCCTGTGGATGGAGTAGGTGAGGACAAAAGAAGTAGGAAGAGACCAAGAAAGAGGATTTGGGTGTTCTCCAGGAATTGCGTGTGGTCACAGGGAATAGTGAAGCATTCCCTGAAGCTCTATCTTCAGGACTCCAGGGGGTCATGTAACACAGAAACATTTTGGAGCACAATGACAGAGTTAAGGAGTGTGATTTCATTTGAATTTCACTATATGGTATGGTGGGAATTATCATACTCATTTTAGAGTTAATAAAACCAAGCCTTGAGGTTAGGAGATATGCAAAGGTCATACTTTTGCCCCAGATGCATGTGACATCCAGGATTGTTGGTCCTCTGTCCACCATACTTCCCAGTCTTCGCATTCTCTACTGCTGCTTCCCAAACTGCCCATCTGCATACCTTTCTGGCTTCCCTGGGTCCATCTGACGGATGGCACTCAGGTCAGAGAGGCAGAGTTGGGGCACAGCTAGAATCCTGTGACTGGGACATGTTGGCGGTGGTCCTCAGCCATGACCACAGGTAGGCAGCAAAGTGCTCTTCTCACCCCACACCTGCATGGTTCAGCAGCTCATTTTAGAAGATCACTGGGGACCAGAGAGAGGACTGACTGACATCTGAAAAGTACCCTGCAAACCCATCCTGCCAAACTGTGCAGTGACTCAGATGTTAAAACGCTATCATTAACTTTTTAAGCATCTGTCTTAGTTAATTTTTATTCATTGCTGAGACAAAATACCTGATGCCCAACATGAAAGAAGGACGG